ACCAGCAATATTAGCATTATACCTCAATGTCTACAGTATCTAAAAGGGGTACATTTTTCTAAAAAATGCTGTTTTGAGACCAATATTTGGTACTGATCAATGTTTTAGGTCCAGGTTTGTGTTATAGATTAAAAAGCCACAGATGAGAAAAAAACAGAGAGCAGAAAACCACAACTGGATGTTTTTTCATAAAAGGTAAAATATGTTTGTCCATCCCAGCAGATCAGGAATGAAGATACTGATTGGATTATTCTCCTGTGAATTGGTACAAGGACAAAGCAGCATTCCAGAAATAAGCTTCCAGAAAAAAATGACTATTTATTTTTAGAAAAACCCAAAACAAAGAGTGTCATCATGACAGCCTTTTTTGAATTATTCAGAAAATAGAGTTGTACTATAAAGAGGAAAATAAAAATTTTTTGTAGGTTTTTATGTTTTACCATCATTTATTTTTTGTTTTTTTTATCTACTTGCAGCAGTACCATATCATACATCATATCCCAGCACTATGCACAGTTTTAATGTTTGCAATAATGTCTGCATATATCCAGTTATCTAGCCTCTAGACAAATATTGATCATCTTTTTTCCTTTTCTTTTTTGTCATGTGGAAATGTAATCATCTCGTTTAACTCCAGTATCTGTGAATCAGTATGTTGGAGCTTTTCTATCTACAATTTTGCTGGATCTTATAAAGTGATAATTATTATTAGTTTATTATAGTAACATTTGATTCCTCCAATGAATTGATGATGTCGCCTTAGAAATAATCCGTCAGTGTTGTAATGCTGCCACCATCAACTAGAGGGAGTTGCTGCTCATTCTTTATAGGAGGCTTAGTGCTATTAGCAAGATTAGCAATGCCAAAGTGGAGACATGATGCTAGAGCAGAAACATGACCTGACACAGAGTCCAGTCTGCGATTATTTACACCAGGCCTGTTCAAAATCGGTCCTCGATGGCCGCTGTTCTGCAGGTTTCAGAGGTTCCCCTTCCTTTGGCACATTCTTACATTCTTTAAAGGTGCATTAGGAGATCTTTTCTGACACATTTTTTACCATGTGGCTTAAAGATCTCCAAACAGCCCCTTAGCAAGCAGTGAAATAGAAGGTCTGGAAGTGAAAATAAAATAAACGTTCCCTGCTACAGTGAGAAATCAATGAATAACCCCAACCGATCACAAAAGACGGTCCTTGGTCCACTATTGGTTCCTGACACGTCAATCATGGTCGTCTGCTTGTCCCTCCCCCCTGTGTGCGCAACCTGACACATGAATGAATCGACCCCCCAATGCTCGTGCAGGACGCCATGGCTGGAAGCTAGCCACTGTTATGCTACGTTCACACCTTTGGTGACCAGATATGGTTTTCTGAAAAGGAGGACACTTTGCTCTGTCACTAGTTAGAATCCCATTCAACAGTAGCCATTGTTACAGGCAAAGAAAGGATAGGGTAGCTCCGCCCAACGCGCATCAGACCCACTTTTTCACCGTGCAGCCAGAGCAGCAAAGATGCTTCAACCTCGTATCAGAAATAAACTTCTACAAGCATAAAAAATGAAGCAGCATGTGCGTTTTAGCTGCTGCCTGCGGTCTGAACGTAGCATCAGAGTTCTGACTGCTTTTTCTTTTACTTTTACTTATCCTCATACACTGAGGACCATGATTAAATAGTTTGTTTTGGTTTTAAGTAGTCATCCTTCACAGATAATTTTTGTAACATCACAATTGGTTCTTTTCCAAGGTGGCAGGCGAGATCTCTACCACTGAACCACCAATAAGCCTCAAATAACACTGTTCCTACATCTGCTATATATGCAGCAGACGTCCTAGCAGCAGAGATGCTAAATCTCTAGAAAACTGTCCAGGTTAATTTATTGAAATCCAAGTATTTTTAGTCTTGCTTTAATAAAAAAGCTCATCTTATTGAAGCACTCACATCAATGATGGCCGCTGCACTGCTGTCTAGGTGTTTGTACAGGTCATTGAGCACCTCCCGCAGCTTCTTCATGGTCTTCTTGTTAGGCTGCAGAAGCATGGCCTGAAAGTTCACCGGCAGCCCATATCTGCAAAGGGAGCGACACGGCAAACGGCTTCAGCACCGCGGCGTCTATGGAGAGCGCACGGAAAACCAGGCGGTCAACTCCATACCTCAGAACGGATTCCACAAAGACCCTCAGTGCTTTGATGTGAATCCAGGCGATGAAGGCTTCGCTGAAGTTCACCTTTAACCATCGGACCAGGGGACCCTGCAGAGACAGGAGGAGTTTCTGTTACAGACGTTCTTTACTCTCAGCTTTATTTGTGACAGCCGACTTAAAACTCAATCTAAGTTATTTTTTTCGTCATTCTAAGAAAACTTTTAAATGCACCTGAAGGCTGGTTTATAATCATCCATCCGCAGACACTCTTCTGCACCTTTCTAAAATTATAGGTGACTACAGACATTGCTGCAGACAGGAGGCTCTGATTGGTCAAATCTACATCCTCTCTACACTATGCGTATTTCCTGTTTGGTACCTTACCGGCTTGTTTTGTTTGTATGACCGCCATTGTGGAAAACGACTCGTAAAGCTAGAAGAGCGAGGTGCGCGAGAACGCTGGGACCCTTTTTCCTCCTGGATCTCCGTTCTTTTTCACTCTCATGTCCCTCCATTGTAGCACAACTTGCCCCCACTTCCTCACCGCCTCGGTCGCATCTAGACCCACAGCTAGTTCCTGATTGTCCCTCTTACGTTGTGGCGTGGAATAACATAGCGCAGACCACGCTTCAGTATTGGGCATAAATCAAAAATATTTGCAACAAGCCCTCTGCGACACACTGCTGCGGGGGGATAACCAGCCCTTAAAGGTTCCAGCTTATCTCTCTGCACCTGAGCCTAATGTTAACTTATAGAGTCTCCCTGATAATAGCTAAAAGGCTTCAGGTTAGAAGAGGTTGTTTTCTGTTAGAAGCAAACATTTCTGGTTTCCAGACTGATTTATGGCAGCAATACAGCAGTCAGAGGTAGACACATTGACATTGGACCTGAATCAGAAGCACTAGCCTGAAAGAATTAAAAACAGAAGCTGGAATGGTTGCAAAGAGTAGTTTTTGGATTATAACATGATCAATCATGAGGAATGGATTGTGCTATAAACACAGCCAGGTTAATTTCCCTCTGATTTAAAGAACAAAGCAATCTAAGAGGAATCAATTGATCAACAGGAGCAGCATTGACTTCACTTACAAACTGCTTCTTCTTATCTGTGGAGAGCCTCGTCATTTCCTCCTTGTCAGCCTTCATCTCCTCTTCATTGTACTGAAAGTCTCTCACTGTAAATCTAGCAGGAAATAATAGAATAGAACAGAGTTCAACTTTATTGTCATTAAACTTATCATTAAATACTTGTCATTGTCATTAAATTAAATATTGCAAAACGGTTTATTTCTGGGAGGGCACAATACTCACTGGGGCCATCTAGTGGTGAATAATAATAATTTAAAAAAAAAAATCTGTCAAATCTATAAATCTTGAATTAAATAAAGAATTTATAGAAATTGCTTAAACACATTGGGCCACATGCAAGAACCGTTTGTACAAACAAATTAGTTTCCTAAATCTTTCATACGAGTGATTTAAGGTAAAATGTCGCATTCGCCATATTTCTATTTCTAATCTTCTCTCAGGTATGAACAAATTTTCTGAGTGCTCCAGACTTGACATAGAAGTGCTGCACAATCACTCAGCTGTTATCCAAACCTAGTTTTTCACTAAATTACTACATTTTTTGATACTTCGAAGCAATTGTCCATTTTAATAGGCATCATCATAAATGATGCAACTCTGCAATTATAAATGACGTCTATATTCTCTGATGACAGAACCGTCGGTCACTATGCAGCACTCACCGATGCAGCTGCTGTTTTAATAATTTTAACTATATTGACTAGGAAGTAGAACAGCTGTCCTTAATGTTTCAGTCCAGGGTTCCTACAGCATAATGCAAGTTAAATTCAAGACTTTTTAAGACTTTTTAATGCCACTTTAAATGAAAATTTAAGACCAAATTCACAAGAAACACAAGAAAAACCTGCTTGCAACAACTTAACCCAAAGGTTTATTTTAACATAAACCACTGCACTAATGTTTCAAATTTTGAAAAGCTTCCAATACAGGAAGAAAGCTAAAAACTCAAAAATGACAGATATATTTGAACAATTATTTAACTGAATTCACAAACTTTGTTTTAGCAGGGAGCAAAACAAACCAGTTTTAAAGCCACAACTGGAGCCAATTTTCGTTACATTTACACTTGCTCATATTTTCAAGACAAAAAGTAAATGACGCATCTCCCAAATGTCCCGGCCGCAACAACGCTTTTATTGCTTCCGCTATCGGGACGGAACCAATAATGGTGAGCCGTTATTTTTTTTAAATAAAAAAAAAAGGTCAATTTTAATGTTTTATTTAGATTACAAAAATAAATCGTAATAAAATAATCCTATTTATGATGTTTTAAAAATTAAGACCTAAGAAAGACTGATTTAAGACATTTTAATACCAATTAAGGCCTTAGTTTTATTTTGAAGAATTCAATGCCTTTTATACGGAAGAGGATTAGGGCCACTGAAAAAAAAAAAAGGTTAACGGATTTTTAAATTTTATTTCAGTATAGTATGGGGAAAAAGTCAGAATTCTGACTTTTTTCTCAGAATTCTTACTGAATTCTGACAATAAAAAAAGTCAGAATTCTGAGAAAAAAGTCAGAATTCTGACTTTTTCCCCATACTGAAATAAAATAAAAAAAAATCAGTTAATTTTTTTTTTTTTTTCCCCCATCGCCCCTTATCCTCTTCCGTACTTTTAAGACTTTTTAAGGACCCGCGGGAACCCTGTCAGTCTGTGAAAATTTCAATCATGTACTAAAATAATATAGATAAGGCAGATTGGCTACCATCTAAAGTTACATATAATTTTGAGACTTTATTTTTAACTATAAATAAAAAGTCATATGTATTTTTTCATGTTTTTATGACATGTGAGAATCATATTAGATGTGATTTTTGAGTAGGGCTAACAATAAATTGAATAAATCGTGATTAATCAATTATTGAGACAATAGTCAACTAATGTAGTAATCTAATCAGGCCAGCTGACAGCTATGCCAGGGCATGGGACGGCACGGTCTTTCTGAAAAATTACTTCTGTCTGTATTTTTAATGTCAGAGTTTTAATTTTGGGCCCCCCTCTGCCATGACCAATAAAATATGATGCAGTCAGGAAAGGAAAAAAGGCTCCAGGATAGGATAATAGGTCTTACTTGTTCTCTCTGGCTTTGTGTTTGAAGTCATCGATGGCTTTCCTGAACAAGGTGACGCTGAACAACCCGCTGTCGCTGTCCTCAAACAGCAGACTGCAGGAAAACACGGACCCAATGAATCACAGGGAATCATGTGAAATTGCTCAGCACCATTTCATCTGATTTTTATTGCTTACTTTGATGATCGAGGCACCACCATCTCAGCCAGGGTTTCATATGTTTTCTGCCAATCTGCATAGGCGGCCCTGAGGGAACAAAACAACGCGTTACTTCCTCCTTCAAACCTTCGAACCGATCAGGACGGTTCGTTAAGGCAGACTAGAAATGGTAGACTCACTTGGGTACAACCACAAGCATAGTAATGAGATACTCTGAATCCAACACAAAATCTTCCTTTTTGACAATATCAGCCAAGCTCCTTGTCAGCAAACTCCCCCTAGTGGTAGAAAATGATGTTACAACAACACAAAGAAAAAGAAAACTAAAATAAAGCTAAGTTCTTTTTAGATCTTCTATCATATATAACTCACACATTCCTAAAAATTTAAAACAATCCACTGGTCGTTTTGCTTCCCTTCCAGGAAGCTTTTTCAATTTAAAATGTCAGGAATAGCGTTGAGTTTGAGGTTTTGTAAAGTAGCCCAACAAAGCCGTGTTTTTGTTTTGAAAACATGCAAATTGGAACGGACCAAAAACAAGGACAAACCTTTGTTGGGCTACTTTATAAAACCTCAAACTTAACGCTATTCCTGGCATTTTAAATTGAAAAAGGTTCCTGGATGGGAAGCGAAACGTCTTCAACATTGGAAACAAATTGAATTGTTTTGAATTTTTTGGAATGACTATGACCTGGATGACTAAGAACCTTCACCAGCAACTCACACATTCTTCCTTTCCAGGTTCTGCAGGTTTCCCTTCAGGTTATTATAAGCTGATGCTCTGGCCTTTAAATCGTTGTCAATTTGGGTTACTTGCTGAAAGGAAAAACCAAAAAACAAGCAGAAATGTTTAACGAATCTAAAAGCACTTAATTTTAACGTGAAGAAATGGGGTAAAAAAGCAGAGCGTGGATGCAGAAACAGGAAAAAGGCACACAAGACTGAAATAAATCTGCAAGATAATGATTGAAAATATATGGTGATTGAATCTACCCAGCAGACCTACCTTTGAGATGATTTCAGAGATGTTTTTAAGGGATTGTTTTATGGGATATTTGGCCATGTCCCACTGGAACCGAGTGATGTAGGTGACAAGGTCAACTAAAACACAAGTAACAGAGGATCTGGGAAGCCATTCTTTAGGTTATCAGATAGAATAAGACACTGTGTGGGGAAATCAGTCACATTATGTATCAAACACAAATCGAAATGGATTTCATCAGATTTATTTTTTCTGTGAGAGACAAACACTAAGTAGCACACATTTATGAACAAAACAGTTGAAAATGTTTTGCATTTTACAAATTGAATTCTTAGAGTGTGGTTTGCACTAGATTAAGTCCAGCTGTGTGTTAATCTCAGTGTCCATCCAGGTCTTCTATGGCGGCCTCAATGTTTGAGACCGTAGGTTAGCTTAGCGAAGCCAATCATTGTTAGCTTAGTTAAGGTCTGAACTTCACCGTTCCAAACTGCACGTGTTTTTTTATGTCATTCCAATTCAAAATGCTAGGTGTCATTAGTAGCTAAAAGTAGAGAATTGTTTTGCAATAAAAGAACACAGTTTGTAAATGGAAATTTGGGGACAAAATGCAATATAGAAATACGACTGAACGTTTTCCCCGATCACACTTTGCTTTATCAAATTATTATTATTTTTTCCACATCTCAGTCTTTTTTTCCTCTTTAATTTTTTTTTTCAGATTGATTTTTTACAAATTAGAGTCTTTTCAAATTGTATTTCACTGATCAATTTCTCTCCACATAACGCCCAATAGAAACAAAGAGAAATGCTGGTGACGATTCTGAGTCATCCAGGTCGTAGTCGTTCTAAAAAAGATAAAAAAACAATCCACTGGACTTTGTTTCTGAGTTTGAAGACGTTTTGTTTCCCATCCAGGAAGCTTTTTCAATTCAAAGTGTCCTTCCTGGATGGGAAGCGAAACATCTTCAAACTGGGAAACCAAGTCCAGTGGATTGTTTTTTAAACTGTTTTAAAAAAAACAAAGAGAAATAAAAATAGAAAAGGAACAAATTCAGAGAAAAAATAAATCTGTAAAGTAACTTTTAAACTTTTGGGATTAAGACGTTAGAAAAGTTTCACACTTTTTCCTCATTTCCATTTACAAAATGTGTTTTTTTTTCCTGCAGCAATAATGGAACTAAGTTCACTCCATAGGCTTATTGCTCCTTTAATGTACTGTAACCTTTTCTCTAGTTGCAAAACTTTAAACTATTGCTTTGTTGAATTAATTGGAAAAACATATCAAGTCTAAAGCGCAGAATACACACATTTGCTAAGTTTGCAGGTTAAGTTTTAGTGTTGTTAAATCACAGATTAAACTATTCCTGCTTGTTTCCACTCAAACAGACCAAGCAGTTGACGTTATCACCGTACCTCCATTGGCCAGCAGGTTCTCCTGCACCTTGTCCCGGCTGTCCTCCAGCACATCAGCCATGTACTGAGCCACCTTCTTCACCACACTGCGAAAACCCAGAAAACACCCAATTATGATGTGCTCTCATAAGCCACAACCACACAGCTGGTCGAAGCTCCTGAAACACCAAAAGATTTCACACACAGATGCTTTGATGGGCTTTTGACAAAGGCTAGCTCTAAGATGGCCGACTTTCAGGGTTCAGCAGCTTGAGAAAGACGGTTCAGCTGCACATCAAAGCATTTCACCACCAAGTCACATCATTGGGATAAAAGCTACATGAGAATCCACATCAGCCGCATCATCGCTTTATCTTATGATCACAATGTCTGTTGATTAAAAAAAAAGGTGAGGCATCTAGAGCAGCACACCCAAACAGATCCACATATTTACTGAGATTACTTTTCAGATTCTTCTAAACATAAACTTCAAAACAGAACAAGATCAGTGACCGACAGACGGCTGTAAGGTTGGTTTTTCTCACAGATGTGGAAATCCCCACAGTGGAAGCCAAGAACAGCTCAGGCAGTAACAGGGCTGTGTGAGATTTGGATGAAAAATATTTCCAAAGGACTAAACTTATGCCACATGGTAAGAAAAAGGTGACTAAATAAAGATCTGCTGATGCGTCACCCAACTGTAAACAGCTAAGTTTAGATAGACTGCAGGATCTCGCTGGTCCCGGCAAAATTCCTCAACGTTACAAGGAGACTAGAAAAAGCTAAACCTGGCTACATCTGAGGGTCAGTGGTGGAGGTCACATCTTTTTAAACAGACGAGCCTCAATCAGGCTATCGCTAGCTAATACTGATCACAGTTTTCTGAACAAACTGACATTCTAACTCCAATGTTTTTTTCCAAATGATAGGCAAGAAGCCAAGGTGTTCTCTAAAGAAAAATGGCTGATTTTATGAATAAAACATAAAAAAATGAAATAGTTGCTATTCTTATTTATTGTCACCAAGATAATGAATTAAATCATATTAACCTAAAGTTAGGAAATTCCATCAAACTACATGCCGGTGGTGTGTTCAAAGGCAGAATATGGTGGGAGCTCTTCGGTATATGCAGCAGCCCGAGCTCAGTTCGTCGGGCTGACACAGCTTTAGTACTGGTTGGCATGGCGTGTTTCTGGCAGCAGCTGCTAAAAAGAGGCTTCTGCAGTCCCTCAGACGGTGTCAGTAAACCTGGGAGCCGATCGGGGAGCTTACTGGCAGGACAGCCGGACTGCCAAGCAAGTGGTTCCGTAGTGCCGGGTGCCACTGACCTCTTACTGGCAGATGCACTACTTCCATCCATAAAGTAAATGTGACTTTATGAAAGTTTTAATGCAGTTTCTTAAGCAATATGATCACAATATTAAAACTAAAATCTGCTTAGAGGTACTATAAATAAGTTATTCGGAGAAAAACGGCTTCTGCTGCAGCCGAAACGGTGTCAGTAAACGTGGAGCTGATCTGGCAGACTGTCAGCCTAGTGGCTGCTGCCAGTAATACACCATGCCTGCCGCTACTGAAGCCGTGTCAGCCTGACGAGCCACCAGAAGTGTCACACCGCTGCCACTGCCACGAATTGAGCTTGCTGTCTCTCGGTATAAGAGAGAGAATGTTTTTGTTTCTGTGTGTTTTTCTGTGTGGTCAGGGTGTCTGTAAATTACAAATCAGAGTCAATCAAGGGAAAGTTTCCACTTCGGCTTCCCGCAAAATTGATTTGTACTTAATCATAGCAACAACCAAAAGTTCAAAAAAGAAACAGCAAAAAAGAAATGATATTTAAAATTATACAGCAGTGTGTTTACCTTTCAACGAAGCCATCTAATTTGGCCAGTTCATCTGAGAGTCCCACCAGGACATCAAGCGTTCCGACCTGTTTTAAACAAAAAATAAAAGCTAATCATTGGAACCTGAGAGGAATAACGTAAGTATTTCTTTGCATTCCATGTAAGGTTAACCAGGCTGAACGCTCAACAAGCCTGCAGTGACACCCAGGGGGCCCTGTGTTCTTAGGAAGACGCCTCTCTGTCCAGGATTGTTCATGCATTGCTAACGGTTCCATGAGGACATTGCAGCGTGACGTAGAAGAGACGTCAGCAGGTATTTACTCTGTGATCAGTACAGAGACGAACTGAACCAAAGACCCGAGCTGCTCTGTGGATTAAATTTGCCCAAAAAACACGTTAATATGCAGGAAACCAGCCTGTGTACAGACCGCCACACATGGTGAGTTATCTAAAAACTTAATAAAATTCTATATCAGAGGTCATGGATTAGCGGACCGCAGTCCGGATCCGGACCCACCTGATTTAAAACATTTATAAATGACTACATTTGTCTAACTTCATTTGGCCCGCTTCTCCTGTTAATACGGTAAAGCCCTCAGGAGCGTCCGGCACCAGGCTGCATGTGATCCAAATTAGCCAATGAGCTGCTGTCAGTCTGGGTTGCTGCTGCTGCTACTTTTAGACACAGCAGGCAAACCTTTAGCAAGCCGGGCGATGGGAAAGAAGGAGAAGATTATGAGAAAAAGAGAGCAGAGAAAGTGTGGACTGCTGGAAGAACTGCTGTGAACTGGTGACAGAAAAGTGAAATGACATGCTCATTTAGAGGATGTTTGGCTCAACCTGCTGCTGTGAAGCAGGATTCTCCACCATGAACAGAATCAAAAATAAATATGGATCCAGGCTCAAAATGAGCACCTTGATATGTGCTTTAGAATGGCTTTGTCTCCATTCAAACCCAGGTTTAAAGCCTTCCAGGGCAGCCTAAAGCCTACTGCTCTCTTATTATGCCAGAAAAAAATAAAAATAAGGGTCAGTTCAGGTGTTTTATAAAATATGTTTTTAAATATTTTTTTTATCTAGAAATTCATTGTATAACATGGATGCATAAACATCTAATTTTATTTCAGTGTTAAATTCTGTTTAAAGTAACAGATTATAATTTAAAATGTATCTGGACCTTTACTGGTTGATGATTTTTATTCAGAGCAGGTTACCCCTGCTCTATATTGTGATAATAACTGTATAGGGGAGTGAGGACAGACAGCAGAAGAGTGATTATAATCCACTCTAACCTTGAGGTCTGGGATGCTGAACTTGTGATTGCTGGAGAGGTTGTTAGTGCGTGTGGTTGCTGCCATCAGTTTGTCCCATGTCTGTTGGCAGGTCTTCTCCCCAGGAGCAGAGATCAGCCAAAACTCAGTCATGTTTACAGCTCCGATGAAGCTACAGAAAACTGCAAGGAGAGCATTCATTTTCTTTTGTTCACACAACAATCCAGAAATATCTACAAAAGAGAAACACTGCCCAAATGAATTGCCTTAACGTGTAATTAATCTGGTGAAATATGCTGACATGTTTGTATTTTAGCTAGATTATGGTAATGAATGAATTATCGTACTACTGTTATATTATTGGGCTGGGTAATTATGAATACATTCAATCCTCGCGATAATGTAATACTTCACTTATGTAAAGTCAACCGTAACCAATAAACAAACCGCTGTACTGAATTTATGGATTAAAATAGCGACAGAAAGCGATGGTTAAGGTCAACAGCATCACAGGGATTAGCTGCCGCTAGCAAGTTAGCTAGCTTTGCTACAAAAAAAGCAAGATAGGTTGTTTTTCCATCTCGTTAATAATTTCACTCACCAGTATACTAAATTGGTGTCTGATACTGGCGGATATATGAGTGCCTGTAGTGTTTCTATGGCTTGACAATGTTCATAGTTGCAATTCAGCGCAGTTCGTCGGATCTCCTGTCAGCAGCATCAGAGTCAGCTGATCCGGAGAGGAACCGGAAGTGGCAGACGTAGTGAGCGCACCGCAGCGACACCTACCGGCAGAAGAGGGGTAGCACAGCATTGGATACCCCTACCGTTTATTCCCTCTAATTTTAAACATTTAAATATTTCATATTTAAAAAACTACTTGACAAAAGAAACACTGTAGTTAATTATTCGCATCAATATAAAAAAAAAATTAAAGATGATAGATACAGAATTCATGCTTTTTTCAGAACTAAATTTTAAATTATTTGGGGTAAAGATAAAATTATGTGCCTCTGCAAGTCATCTAGGAGTCTTCAGTGAAATCATAGATAAATAACTACTTTAATAATAACTTAAAAATTCATGAAATATGGATATTAGTAAAATTTAAATATATTTTTTTTTGCAGAATGATCATTGATAAAAGAAGGTAATGACAGATGTTCGCCCTAGAACTCAAACCTGAAAGAATTTTGTCCAAGATACCTTTTATTTACATAGCATAGATGTTTAAATATATGCGTCTATTTGTTAGCAAAGGCTGCAGGAAAGGATCGTTTGTCTTTATTTAGAAAATATGGATGTTGTTCTCGTTCCTGTTGGAACAGTGCAGATTGAGCCTGAGGTTCTGGTGCCTTTCATCCACCCCTCAATGTTGGTTATTGACTGGCCACCCCATTAGGATTTTCTGGCTACGCCTCTGATCTCAAGCCAATAGTGTTATTGGAATTCAGGACAAGACCTTATTACCTTTGTAACATTCAAAAAATATGGATATTTTGATGCAGAAAATGTATGTCAATGTAATAAAAAAGAAATGCCAACTTGCCGTATTTATTAAGAAATATAATAAAAGTGCTTCTATAAGAAATTCATGAAAAACACAAATGTTTTTGGTACAATATAACCTTAGAGGCATTAATGCTGATACTGGCACTTACATTTTTGGTTCATAAACCTAAATATAATTGTTAACTAGACTTATTAAATTTTTTACTTTTAAATTAGCTTTTTAGCTTTTTTTTTTAAAAACTTTTTTTCCAACTTAATTTCTAATAGGTAATATATCATTCAAGGGTTCATCTAATTGGTCAAATGCCAAAATAAGATGTACAGCCATGTAGCAGCATCTTTGCTGAATGTCTGGATATAGATCTTGTGCTTCTAGACCTCACTGAGGGACGGTGGGGATTCCCTTTTTAAGGGGTATGCTGGTGGTAATAAACGGTAACTTGCCCTATAAATGGTTAAAGGAGAGGTTACTACATTTTTAGGATAACTTCACTGTTCATTTCATTTCCTGAAATAAGACTGAAACACATTTTATTTATAGGTACCTTTTTCTAAACACTCAAACATTTGTTAAAAGAAACACAACAGTTTTTTTTGTTTTCTTTTGGTGTTAAAAATTAAAAAATAATTTTCCTTGTAAGTTGTGTCTGTAAGACTATATATCAATAAGTCTGTTTTATAAAATACAAATTTCAGTATAACTGTAAATGCTTGCTATACACCATAAATATCTTGTAAAAGCGTCTGTCAACAAAACAAATCCTAAAAAAAGCAACACAACACAATTATAAAAAAGAAATAGATCATAAAAAAGATTAAAATTACACACTTCAACTGTGGGAGTGAATAAGTGCTTCTGAGTTCTGGAGATAAGATGGAGATTTATCTTTGACATCCGGCAATAGTTTATACTTTAAAACACATCATTTAAAGGGAAATCTAAAAGAACATTGTTATTTTATAAAGAAAATTAACGCACTTAAAGCTGTTCCATAAAAGACAACATTAATAAATAACTGAATAAATAAATTAAATAAGATCCACAATTATATGAGCAGTGGTTCACTAAAGTAATTCTTATTCAAGAAAGTCACAGCAGAGGAAACAGAGGAGTTTTTTTTACCTCTCAGTCTCCTGCCAGAGTGAAGCAGCTGAAAGTTGGATTGTAAAGAATGAGCAGGATTCCTTTTCGATTAGAACTACTTTTTTCCTCAAAATCCTTTTATCTCAATTGAAGGGATGAATTTGCTAAAGACCGGTAATTTTACAGCCCTGATCAACTACCCAAGCTTAATTAGACCATCTTTGACCAAGATTTCAATACACGGAAACCCTTATAAAGACAAGACACTCTCAATAAGCAGAATTTGGTGCTAATTAGTTACATTTACTCAGTTGCTAACATTAAATATACGGTATACATATATATACACTCACTGGCCACTTTATTAGGTACACCTGTCCAACTGCTCGTTAACACTTCATTTCTAAGCAGCCAATCACATGGCGGCAACTCAGTGCATTTAGGCATGTAGACATGGTCAAGACAATCTCCTGCAGTTCAAACCGAGCATCAGTATGGGGAAGAAAGGTGATTTGAGTGACTTTGAACGTGGCATGATTGTTGGTGCCAGAAGGGCTTGTCTGAGTATTTCAGAAACTGCTGATCTACTGGGATTTTCACGCACAACCATCTCTAGGGTTTACAGAGAATGGTCCGAAAAAGAAAAAACATCCAGTGAGCGGCAGTTCTGTGGGCGGAAATGCCTTGTTGATGCCAGAGGTCAGAGGAGAATGGCCAGACTGGTTCGAGCTGATAGAAGGGCAACAGTGACTCAAATAACCACCCGTTACAACCAAGGTGGGCAGAAGAGCATCTCTGAACGCACAGTACGTCGAACTTTGAGGCAGATGGGCTACAGCAGCAGAAGACCACACCGGGTGCCACTCCTTTCAGCTAAGAACAGGAAACTGAGGCTACAATTTGCACAAGCTCATCGAAATTGGACAATAGAAGATTGGAAAAACGTTGCCTGGTCTGATGAATCTCGATTTCTGCTGCGACATTCGGATGGTAGGGTCAGAATTTGGCGTCTACAACATGAAAGCATGGATCCATCCTGCCTTGTATCAACGGTTCAGGCTGGTGGTGGTGGTGTCATGGTGTGGGGAATATTTTCTTGGCACTCTTTGGGCCCCTTGGTACCAATTGAGCATCGTTGCAACGCCACAGCCTACCTGAGTATTGTTGCTGACCATGTCCATCCCTTTATGACCACAATGTACCCAACTTCTGATGGCTACTTTCAGCAGGATAATGCGCCATGTCATAAAGCTGGAATCATCTCAGACTGGTTTCTTGAACATGACAATGAGTTCACTGTACTCAAATGGCCTCCACAGTCACCAGATCTCAATCCAATAGAGCATCTTTGGGATGTGGTGGAACGGGAGATTCGCATCATGGATGTGCAGCCGACAAATCTGCGGCAACTGTGTGATGCCATCATGTCAATATGGACCAAACTCCCTGAGGAATGCTTCCAGCACCTTGTTGAATCTATGCCACGAAGAATTGAGGCAGTTCTGAAGGCAAAAGGGGGTCCAACCCGTTACTAGCATGGGGTACCTAATAAAGTGGCCGGTAAGTGTATATATTGCTTTAGAAGTAGTCTTAGCATATCATACTTTTACTGGAGTAATATCTCAATGAAATGTTATTTCAAAAAGTAAAACAAAAAAACAGCCCACTGGACTTTGTTTCCAAGTTTAAAGATATTTTTCTTCCCATCCAGGAAGCTTTTTCAATTCAAAATGTCAGAAATAGAGTTGAGTTTGAGGCTTTATCGAGTGGATCAAAAAATAAGCCTTGTTTAACCGGACAAGCGGGTCCACCCATTTGAAATGGGGGTCATTTGGGTTCTTTGTTAGCCTGTAATACCCAATACCTGTCTATGTCTCTGAAATGGGGGTTATTAGAGGGAATCGTTGGCGTGGTTGAAGAGGCAAATTGCTCTGTTCCCCTGTAAAGGGGTTGGGGCTGCAATGATAGCAGGAAGGAATTAACTCAATCGCTGAATTGTAGGTTTTTGAAAGCTGAAATCTGAGTCCACCACCTCTGTTTAAGTTTGGTTTTCCTTTCTTAACATAGATGGCTTCATTAATGTTAGGGTGACCATATTTTCATTTTGAAAAACCAGGACACCTTGGAGCGGGGGGGGCGGCGGCGGGGGATCTCTGTTCCCATGCATAGGCCTACGTAATCCTACAATAACATGATATTAACAGTTGATTTATTAAAAATGCTTTTCAGTAAAATTCAACAGCAATAACTCCAATAACAAATGATAATTTTATTCAAAATGTATTTATTAAAAATGCTTAACAATTCCTGTAATGAATGAATAGCACAATGAAAGAAATAATGTCTCATCTCTTGTTGGAGTACTGACAGCCACGCTATCTATATTCTGATTAAGAACAGGGCTGCCCGCACTGGCGCGGCTGAGGGGTGATGTCACACGCAGCGTCGTGCGCAGTGCCCTAGCGTCTGTAAATTTAATGGTCCAATGAAGGTAATTTAAAAAAACAGGACATTTCCTCACTTTCTAAAAAAAACCCGGGACGCCCAGGACAGGACGTGAAATACGAACATGTCCTGGGAAATACGGACGTTTGGTCACCCTAATTAATGTTCCTCTCAACCTACCTATTTTCCTTCTCCAAAATGTGAACATTCTGGTCCTCAAAAGAATGTCCTTTGTCCATAAGGTGTAGATGTACCGCCAAGTCTTGTCCAGAGGAGGTCTTTCTTCTGTGCTGGGCCATGCGTCTGTGGAGAGGTTGTTTGGTTTCTCCAATAAAGATCAGAGCATTCCTCGCTGCATTGAACTTCATACACAACTCCTCTAATCTTAGGTCTGAGGGTTTTGTCTTTAGGATGCACTAGTCTCTGTCTAAGGCTCTTGTTTGGTTTAAATATTCTGGGATTTTTTGTTTGGAGAAAATCCTCTTGAGCTCTTCAGAGACTCCAGCAACATATGGGATGGCGATGTTTTTGCATTTAATCTTCTCGCCGTTATGTTCTGCTGCTTTGGATTTTCTTGCTGATTTGACAAACGCTCAGTTTGGGTATCCACAGGTTTGAAGAGCATCTTTGATGTTTTTCTGTTACTGTATTTGTAATTCTTCTGTTTTAGTAGGGAGATGCTCGGTGCAGTGTTGTAAGGTTCTGATAACAAAAAA